CCTGAGGGGGGGAGTGGAGCCATGGGGGGTCGCCAGGGGAGCAGAGCTGAGGGGTTCCTCCCTGGGAGGGAATGGAGGGGTAAGTGCCCCCCCCATGGGGGAGCAGAGCCATGGGGTGTCCCCCTGAGGGGAACAGAGCCATGGGGGGATCCTGGGGGCGCAGCGCGGTGGGGGGACCCCCCTGATGGGGGTTTGGAGCCCTGGGAGGACCCAGGGGAAGGTTGGGAGCCTTGGGGTGCCCCCTGGGGAGATCAGAGACGGGGGGGTCCCTAGGAGAGCGATGCCATGGGGTGCCCTCCTCAGGGGGAGCGGAGCCATGGGCGTCCCAGGGAGAGTAGCGCTGTGGGGTGTCCCCTGGGGGAGCAGTGCCATGGGGGTTCCAGGGCAGGAGGTGCAGCAGGGCTGCAGGGGGCGGCGGTACCCCTGCCAGGGTGGTGGGTGCCCCTGGGGCACGGAGGCACCGCTGGGGGTGCCCCACGGCCCCTCTCCCTTTGCCCCCCCAGGAAGATACCTCAGACTGCGGCGGAGGGGCTTCCTTCGCCCCCTCCCTGGGGGTCCTGCTCTCCCTGCAGCTGCTGCTCCTCTACTCCAGCACCAGCCGGCACCTGCTGCCCCCGGCCACCTGCCTTTAGCCCCCCCCAGCCACACCGCCAGCTCTCTTTTCTTTCAAGCTCCATCTCCATCCCCCTCCCCGGCCCGGTGGAGCAGGAGGAACGTCCCCTCCGCCGCCTCGGGGACCCCCGTATTGCTGCCCCGCGCTCCCTGCCGGCCGCAGCCAAAGAAGAGTCGGGGTGCAGGCAGGGGCTCCCCGGCAGAGCGGGGACCGGGTCGGTGCCCCAGCATCACGCCCTCCCGGCTGCTCGGACTCGGAAAGTGGCGTTGGTGCCCTCCGCCCGCAAACCCCCATCCACCTCACCTAGCTTTTTAGCCTGAAGATTTTAAACCAGATCTTTCTACATCGAATTTCCGACATTTTCGCCTGGAGAACGGCGGTGTTTATTGTCAGCAATGAGGACACATGGAAAAAAAAAAAGGGGGGGGAAAAGGAAAAAAAAAAAAACAAAAGAAAAAAAAAAAAGACCATGGACAGAAGAGGAAACCCAGAGTCTTCACTGGGTCAGCAGTAAAAAGGAAGCACAAAGGGCCAGGTCTGGAGTTGGCATGGCCACAAGGGAAGGAAGAACCACAGCTGCCCATTATTGCTAGTGATGTAGAATGATGCAAGCTGGTTGCAGGCAACCCCTTTTATAACTTCCTTAAACCCGATTTCCCTTCATGC